ATTTAAAGTTCAAAAATTGACAAAATATGGAAAAATCACGAAAATTAGCAAATTATTTTGAGTTAAGAATTCGTAAAAATTTTTCTTTTTAAATCTAAGATTTGAAAATTAAACACAAGATTCCTTATAAGATTATTTACCTTTATCAAAAGAAAAATGTCTATAAGAAAGTCAAATTAAATTTTTATGAGCGTTTGAAATTCAAATTTTTACAACATTGAATATTCACTCGATTTCCCATGTAGCGATTTCCTTATTTTGTTGTAATTAAAAAACAAACAACTGTAGATACATGAAAATTTCACTGAATGTTTATATTAGCATTTCCTATACACCATACAATTTTGAAAATATTTTGACTCTTTTTGAGCTGTTTATGGACATTTACAGCTTTCAATTTTTTTAGTTTTTTTTTCTATAAATATCAATAAAGTTTTATCTGTTGGGCCAAAAAGTGTAAAAATTTAATACAAGGCTCCTGATATATTGTTACAATAGCAGTTGAAAAATATTAAAAATACATAGGCACAGTTTTTTTTTATAAGCATTTAAAGATCAAATTTTGACAAAATTTATCAAAATCTCGAAAATTATCAATCATTGTAATTAATAAATTATAAAATGTTCAGTTTTTATAGCTAAGGATTACAAATTTAAAACAAAGGTTCTCATAAATAGTTCATACTATAACCAAAAAATCTAAAAAATATATGAACACACTTATTTTTTACAGACATTTTAAATTCAAATTTGGACGAAATTACATATTAAAAAACCTAGAATAACTATTTTAGTTATTTTGTTGTGATTGAATAATATTATTCGTGGGTACTTGAAACTTCTAAAGTGTACTATTATATATCTATGATAGTATCACGGTTTTTGTTGATGTATAACGCGTTATAAGTATCTAATGGATATTGTGATATGATTAATTTGGAATTTATTATAGGTACCTATTATAGGTCAATTTTTTGTTTAATACCATAGATATGTATATAATATGTCTTATACATAGACTGACATACCGTCACCGCTCAGAATCGTTTTTCATATACAATGATATTATATCGTTGAATTCAAATTTAATACCATCCATTATACAGTGACCCACTTGTAACCTACTGTACAGCAGAGCGACACCCACTTGCCCACCTTTTTTTTATTATAGCTAAAATATTAACGATATTTAGGCTTCATGGTTATTTTTTATGAGCATTTAAAGTTCAAATTTCGTCAAAACCACAGTTAATTTGTAGTTCAAAACTTATAAAATATAAAATATGTATAGGCGTATAGCTAAGGCTGGGAAATTTAATATAAGGTCTTCCATACAAGTAGTTCATACTTTTACCGAAAAATTACAGATAATTTATGAAAATTGGTATGCAAATACAATGTTTTTTCAAAAATGAATTAATTCTGGTAAGACATAATATATGAAATTTACGTCTTGCTTACTATAGTTGACAGTTTAAACTTGATTAATATTTTTTTTTTTAAAGTAATAATAATACAGGCAATGGGGGGGGGGGGCTTCAGCCCGTTAGCCCCCCCCTTGCGGACGCCACTGCACATACATACTGCACCCCACATACTGCTAGGGATGGCAAAACATTTCCCGACCACGATATATCGAAAAGCTAAACATCGATATATCGATAATTCAAAAAAAAATTTAAAAACTATAACTGTACGACTATACGTGACATAAGTGGACCGTACTGTCCGAACGGAAGAACTAGGTACAGAATACGAAACGAAAAATATACCGAATACGAATAATACGATAAAGTCCAGTCAATAGGGGGTTTTGCCTTGCATTAAATACTAATGTTTTGAAACTTGGCAAAAAGTTTCATCTTCGGGCCCTAATTGACTAAAAAAATGCGCCATCCTTTCAAGGTCCGCAACCGTCCAGCATTTTGGATTTCATTTGAAATTTTTCACTTTTTTTACAATATTTCTAAAATTAATAACTTAAAGATAAAAATAGCTTTTATAAAAATTGATGATCGTAAAATTTGTAACAAGAAAGGTTCTCTACATAGTAAGTAAAAGAAGACAGAACGCCGAGCAAAACCAGTTACTTCGCACGTGGTTTCCATGAGCGGTTGGGGATAGACGGATACTGATAACTTTAATCAATGTTGTTGTTTAATGATAAGAAATTATCATAATATTTTGTTTGTGCTTACTGCTTATTACTTTTTGTCAACTGTGACGTTAAAATCGTTAAATACAAAATTGTTGTATAACCGGAAAAAAAATAAAAAAATTACATTTAAAATTTACATTTTGAATGTATTAAGTACTTGTCATGTTTTATTACATCGCAAACTATGATTTGCAGGTATTATTTGATGAAAACATTTTAGTTTAATTCAGTTTTTTTCTGTACCTACCGATTTACTAATGAGCTTTTAGTTACATGACATTGTGTAAGTATTATTTTAATTATATCCTAGTTAAGGTTAAAACATCTTTAAGGCTATTTGGTAAATTAGGTTTTAGGCTTCTTATTAAAAAGTACTCACCACTGTTTTGTTTGATGATTGAATCCATGTTTACACGAGTTGACAATCAATATTGTAACGTATTGTTTGGACTTTTGAAATAAAATTAATTAACAAATTTACTGTTTATGACAAGCATAGTAACATAGGCGCAATTTGGGCTAAATTTATGGGGGTGCTAGATTTATGTGGACCAAAGTAACCCGTGGGGGGCTTCGCCCCCCCCCACTCCCCTCATAACACCATTCATGCATTCATAATACTACCTGATTAATCAATAATTATTAATATTGAAAAATAAATATATGATACAGGTAAATACGTTTTTTATTTTCATTTGAATATTATAATAAATATATATGCCTTTGAGACATAGCAAAATTATTTATTATTTCATTTAATAAATATCAAAACTTACTTCTTGGTGTTTATCATTATCATTTTTTGACTTTTTTTCAAAATTGAAAATACTAAAAATATTTTTAGTATTTTCCAGAATAAAATTTAAAAACAATAACAACTTGAGTAGGTAATTAAAATAAAATTAAATATAATTTAAATTAAATTAAATATAGGAAGTTAATGAGGATAAACAATAAAACACGTTACATGTACGTCGCACAGTCGCACAGACTTAACGATTCGAAAAATACGAGTGAAATATTATTATTATTATATAAGTCAAATCTTAGAAATTAATTTATCCTGTTGTCTATGACATAATACGTGTATAACCAATAACAATTAAATGATGCTGTTGAAAATTTGGGGGTGCTAATATGAATTTTGGGGGTGCTAAGCACCCCCAAGCACCCCCCAAATTGCGCCTATGCATAGTAATTTAACTGGTAGAAAGTGGGAATCCAATGCGGCTGACATTATCATCATTTACATTTTGTAAATTTACTCACATATTTTAAAACCAAATCAAAAACAAAATATGATTTTACAATATTTTGCTTCGAATTCTGTTTTATGAAATAGTTTTTAGAGTTAAGAAATTATATTTATAATGCTTCAGGGTTTAAAATTGTATACCTATATGTAGATCTTTTAAAAAATATAATATAATATCATTAAGACTCAGGGGAAACCACATGGTTCAGTGCATGCCAATGCACTCACCGAGGCTTAAAAAATTGTATTGTTGTATATTTACAATAATACCTACACTACACAATGATATTTAATATTTTAAATACTCAGTAAATCACTTTTCTCTAAATTTCTTTTGATTTTGTTATCAAAGAACTTTCAGATAACTTTTTCTGAATATTTGGTTTTTTCTGCCCTAACTATTTTCAGTTTAAATACTGTTATACCATTGCCCATTTTTCAAAATGGTGCTGTTCTTTAATTTAGAAGTTATACTTACCAAAAAATTGGAAAATAGATTTTTATACATTATGGTGGTCTTCAATAAAAATATCAAAAACTTCTATTTTGAATTCTTTTTATTATTAGTAGCTATGTTTTTTTTACGTTGAATATGATGTAACAATTATATTTTGATCATCAGTACTTACTTAATTATTAGCTCCCTGTGTTTGTGTATGGGGGGAGGATTTCATCATTCATATAAAAAATAAATAATTTTTTTGTAATTTTTTTTATTTTGAAAAAAATCAATTTTTATTTAACTTTTAGAGTAAGCACCTTTAAACACATTTTGAAAAAAATAAGTTAAAAATGTACCTTGCATATTTCACTAGCTAAACTTATTTTCTAGGGGCGCCCCTGGTAAATAGTAAAAATATTAGATATTTTGTGTATTAGATTCTGAGCGGAGTGAAAGAATGTATTGGTTTTACAATGATGTGTATTTTTTTTTTTGTCTATCAGCAACTTTTTGGATAAGGGCATTTTTGAGATCAGCATCTTTTATGATAGAAAAGTGAACCTAGTTAGGGCATTTGGGAGGTAAAAATTGGAAATTCCAAGTAGTTTTAGAAAGCATCGAAAAAACTACCGACAAATTACGAAAATCCGCTAAAAAAGGGATTTTAATTTCTAACGCTTTGTATATCACCATAGCAACAAATAAAGAATGATATTATAAGGACTATGCTAACCGCTCAGAATGGTTTTTCGTATACAATGTTTTATCATTGTATTCAAATATAACACATCCCTTACAACTATTGTACAGCAGAGCGGTACCCACTTGTCCATCTTCTATTGGTCCTAGTTGCATATTAATTTAGCACCTACTTATTCATATTACTATTGATTGAATATAGATATATAAAATTGTTAATATTGTAAGTATTTAATACATGGTAATAATGTATTTTATATTAACATTTAATTTCCGTTTTATACAATGCTTACCAAATTTATATGTTATAAAAATATCTATTAGTCGCTTGACTCTGACATACCAATCACAATAATTTAATGTTTCTAGTAATGTTTATCATATTTTTTTTATTTCAGGAATTTATTTGAATAAGTTCAAACCAAAATGTATTAAAAAAAGTCAAGATGGAAAAAGCTTTGCAGTTTGATGTGATTGCCTCCTGCACTACTTCAAAAGCTCGTACTAGTTTAATGAAATTACCACATTATACAGTGGAAACGCCAGTGTTTATGCCTGTTGGTACCAAAGGAGCTATTAAATCTGTTTTACCAGAACAGCTGGAAGATATGAATTGTCAAATTATTTTAGGAAACACATATCACTTGGGATTACGTCCTGGAGTTGAATTATTAAAAAAAGCCAAAGGCCTTCATAATTTTATGGGTTGGAAACGTGCTCTACTTACTGATTCTGGAGGCTTTCAAATGGTCTCATTGTTACATATGGCTGAAATTAATGAACAGGGTGTTAGTTTTGAATCACCTTATGACGGTACAAAAAGCTTGTTAACTCCAGAGAAGTCTATTCAAATACAAAATGCAATTGGTGCAGATATAATAATGCAGTTAGATGACGTCGTACCAACTACTTCAAAAGACGATGAAAGAATGGAAGAAGCTACACACAGGACTACACGTTGGTTAGATCGTTGTTTAAGTGCTCATGAAAGACCTACTGAACAGAATATATTTCCAATTGTCCAAGGAGGTCTTATAGAAAATTTAAGAAAGTTAAGCGCCAATTTACATTTGGAAAGAAAAGTAAACGGTTATGCTATAGGTGGTCTTGTTGGTGGGGAAGATAAAAAAGATTTTTGGAAAATGGTTATTCTATCTACTAATTTATTACCTTGCGATAAACCTAAGTATGTGATGGGAGTTGGATTTGCAGTAGATTTAGTAATTTGTTGCGCTTTAGGAGCAGACATGTTTGACTGTGTATTTCCAACGAGAACAGCTCGGTTTGGTTGTGCGTTAATTTCAAGTGGTCAGATTAGTTTAAGACACAAAAAGTTCAGAATGGATTTTGGACCAATTGAAAAAAATTGTAGCTGTTCAACGTGTAAGACATATACTCGAGCATATATACATCAGATTGTCAGTATAGAAGCTGTTTCTTGCACTTTATTATCAATACATAATCTTCATTATCAAATGCAATTGATGAAAGGTATTAGAGAAAGCATAAAAGTAGACAAATTTCCAGAATTTGTCCAGGAATTTATGACAAATATATACCCTGATAAGAGTTATCCACAGTGGTGCCTTGATGCACTACAATCGGTGAATATAGAATTGAAATAAGAATGTATATTTTAAGCACAAGGTTCTACAAATTGTACAGCATTGTTTGAATTTTGAATTTTGAATTCATAATTTTCAGTGGTTGAATATTAACACAACAACTACCAAATAACTATTAATTTAATTTATTTTTTTAATTATAAAGATATACATTATATTGTTAGGTTGGTATTTACTATTATTTATAAGTCTTAATTTTACGACTTGCATTAAAAAATTTAAATTATAAATTTAACATTAAAACCACCATTTATACAATTTGTTAATAATTTTAGTTACACTAATAACTTGTACCTTTAAACTGTACTTAATTGTAATACACCTTTTGAACCTATGTACATTATTTTCCAATTCTGTTCCAATTATTAATATATTATTTACTTCAATGTGATGAATACCTATGTGGTTATCGTCTATCGATTTAAATCATCAATACAAAGTTATCGTTTGTTTACATTAAATTATCCATCCTGTATGTAAATTGTTAGTAGTATAGTTATACAATACACTGTTAAACATAAATTGTTGGTTCAAAACAAGGCTTAAAGCCAATTTTTGGAAATCACTTAACAACCAGTCAGGTAAAACTTAGGTTTTTTCATTTTTTCATTTTATAACCGAAACTAAATTCATAAAAATCGGTTTAAATTAGATTTTAGAATTAAATAAACTGTTAAGATCAAAACCAAACAATTTAAAAAAAACTGTTAGTAAAACCGAAACTGAAACCTTTAAAATTAATTTTGTACATTTTAAATTATGAGTTATGTGGCTTGGTTGTAGTATTTAATATTGGTTATTCGAGTGTAAATTGGTGTTAAACCAACTATGGTATTCACTATTACTTTGATCATGGTTACGGTGTTAAAAATGAAAAACCAAGGTTTACCCAGCTGGTTATAAACTTAGGTTGATTTATAAAACTAGGTTTAAGCCTAGTTTCAATATAAAAATTAAAGAAATCATACATTCATGTATCTGTATTGTTATGGATAAATAGTAAATAGGCGTAATGTTAGTTATTCACAAAAAAAAAAAGCACCTTATATTAGGATATTAATTATTGTTATATAATGTTGTACCTACGCATATAGGTCATAGGTGAAATAGTCAATGGTTTTCTTATATTACTGTTTAAGTTTTTGTTTACTAAGTTCTACACACACAAAATATTAAGTATAAAATTACAATTTTTTTTTTGTCTGCTTACAACTATAATATGCATTATTGACATAAAAAAAATGTAGACATTACGAGTTGTATTTTAAGAACAGATATAACAACTTTTTCTATGTGGAAAGACATACTTACAAATTATAATAATACATTATTATTATACCTATCTAATGAAAAACAAAATATATAATAATGTAGAATGGTCAATGATATAAAATATTTATACACATTATATAGTTTTACTGAAATATAATTTGCGTGCTTTTTTTTTAAATGTTCGTTGACATAGTTTTAAATATGATTTAACAATTTTGGACTTTAGTTATTAACTTAATTGAATTGTAGAAATAAGGTTTGTAAATATTTCAAAATCATGTATTATTGTAAGCTATTTCTGAGTTATACCTATTCAATTGTATTTTTTTTTTTTGAACTAGGATGTATGTTACCATGATACTATTAAAATAACAAAATAAACCTAATTGTCAATGACTTTTTAATAGTGAATAGTACGATGTTTGAGCGAAACAAATATGTTTATTGCAAACCATGTTTATGTGTTGGACAGCATGACGTTAAAAGCTTAAGAAATTAAATCATTAAAAATAATTACCCTTTTAAGCAAGGTTGTCAATTTCAAAAATCGTCCCTTTCTATTGTATCACAGATTTAGATTTACAATACGTGTATAACTTCCAAGTTTCAAAATGAATTATATATAAAAAAAAAACAATTTTCCATGGTGTTGTTTACCTGTTGTTGAAAATTGCCAGTAGAAAAAATATTGTGGTCCCATTATTATTTCACGAGATTTTTTTGTTAACGACGTTTAATACATGTATATTTTCTTTTATTCCGTTATTACAAAACAAAATATATCCTACCGCGAGTAAATCTGAACGTAAATGATATGTTATAAATTAAATTTGAATTAAATATTTTAAAATGTTGTTAAATAATTGTGAAATTAGAGCAATAGATACATATATTATGATATATTTAAATTAATCATTGTAAGTGAAATTGAATAACGTAGGCACAACTGTACAAGACATCTATCGGGATAAGAAAAATAAATATCAACCATAATGTCATAATTATATTATTAATTTATATGACTATATAGTACAACACCTAATTATATTATAGGTACCTACACCGGAAGGTTCACTTAAAAAGCATAGGTATATATTTAAATGTTTTGAAAAGAATATGTTTTGTTTAATTTTGCAACAAACCGACGCAATATATATTATATAATATATATTATAGGGGTCAGGACGTCAGGTCTATATATTTTGTAGATATATGTATAGGTACCTAATCATTTTCAAAAATGACTATACAAATCAAAATTGACACAAAATGTAGTCTTAAATTAGTTGTTTCATTATATAGTTTAGATAGAATTTAAAAGCCCCGCCTGAAGGTAGGTCATTACTCATTTGTATAATACATGCTAAAACTTAAATAGGTAGGTATTTAAACAATTATAATTAATAGTATGTACCTACCTAATACTAAAGTAGTAAAGTACCAAACATAATGTAAACATATTATGTGTTAATATAATAGATACCCACCTAGTTAAGTTTAAGTACGAAGTAGGTACCTACTATATGCATGAAGTAGATACCTACCTACATTAAAAAAGGTATAGATACAGTATACACCATATAATGTTATACGATTATTTTTATAAGTTAGCTGTAGTATACATCAATACATGGTAATTTCATAGATTGGTAATATTTTTAATTAATAAAATATGATTTAGGGTTTAGACATAATATAATGATAGGTATATAATTTTACATATTATATATTATATGCGCTTGTAGTAGGTACCTATAATTTGTTATGACAATATTTAATACATTATAAATCTTACTTAGGTATATAATATAATATATAGTCATACATAAATATAATATTATTGTATGTTAATGTTATACTATAGGTACTTAAAATTACAGCTTTTCACAGCATGTTGCCTGTGATATTCATAATTTTTACAACACACAAACACACACACACATACACAGATAAAAGTAAGTACATAATATAATTTTGTTGCCTAAGTCAATAACACAACTGATGGGATTGTATACATATAAATATGATATATATAAGGTACCTACTACCTACTATAGTTAGTAAAATATTATTATGTGTCTATGTGGTTAAGTAGGTATTTAAATAAAATAATTATACATTTGAAGACATTTTGTTAATAATTTTTTTGAGTATTTTTACAGTATGTTCAGAAAATAAGTAACGTTCTGAAAACAGACAAATTTTATGTTACACGTCTTTGAAATAGGTACCTACTCATGTTTTTTCAAGTATTAAGCATATTTACACACAATTTATATAATATATTTATTTATAATGGAACTGTACCTATTTTGGCAACTTGTTAGCAACGCCGATTACACGAAACCCGCTCAGGGGCGTGTAGCACAATCGACTATTATGGTTTTAAAAAGTCCCTCTAAATATATTATAAACGGAACTCAATTTATATATGATGCTATATTTCCATTCAATCGACGTAAAATCGTACAAATACAAATATAGACAGATGGTACCTGTACAACAACTGTACAAGTAGGTATACACTTTTATTTAATAGAAGTAGTAGGTAGGTAGGTAGGTAAGTAGGTATTATTATTATATAGACTCAGTTTTTAAATATAATGCTTGTCACTCCAGTTCTCGCTATTATGTGACTTCTGAACGACACTGTAGAAATTCATATTTTATCATTCTGAGTCATCTTTCACAAATCCTTTAATAAGTGTCACTTGTATAATATAATAAACCAAGAAGATCACCATATTTAGTTAGGTACCTACTAATAGTAACTCCGCTAGGTATATCTAAAATAATAATTTGTTGTGTTTCAAAAGGTTTTACGACGATGAGTTGTGCACGCTAAAGTGCAAATGTGCCAATGTGCGATAATAATGTAAACTACAATGCATACAACGTAAAATATGAGTCAAGAGATAGGAAGACAGTAATAATTTCGATTGTTTAAACCACAACGCGAGTTAGGTGCGTTAAAAGTACGTCAACCATTACCGTTTCAAATTGGACGCTGCCTAAGTTTTTGGAAGAGTAGAGAGGTAAGTCTCTGAAGAGTGCATATCGTATAGTAATTTGAATAGCAAATAAAAAAAATGCACGGTAAATATATAGCAATATAATATGGTATTTATTAGGTCTGTGCCTCAACTTTATAGGTACTTAATACTTATGTTTATAATTTATACTCCTTCAGGTGCCAATAATATTTACAAGTCAAGAATCTAAAACCAGCTACCTTTAACTACTATTTTTTTTTAAAGTTGTGAGAGGGTGCAGATGTAGGTTATTTATATTTATCTATGTAGCCACGGCCCATGAGTAGGTATTTTTCACGATACCTAGTACTTAGTAGGTACTCGAAAGAGGAAATTCGTTTTAATCGTAGTGGATTACAAAAGCGAATAATAGATAGGCCAGTATAGTCAATTAATAATTTTCATGGTACGTAACATTATTACGATTTTTTTTTTTATCAAACAGAAAATTCTGAATTTTTTTTTGAACCAATTATATTATACGTTTCTACGGGGTCGTCGAGATTTTTCGGATACTTTTTTAAGACTTGGGTTCCCGATCATGTTTTGTATTTCATTTAAGTTCCAAATAAAGTATAGAAATACCTACCTACCTAAAAAAACAAAAAACCTCATCGTGCCGGTGAGATGTATTATTATATTATATCCCTAGGGGCCTAGGCCCTACTGCCCTAGGGATAATATTATTGGAGACGAAAAACAGCCATTTGATGAATAACGATATTATCGCACAGTCAAAGCGAACAATCAAAACATAAAACAATATAGGTAATATTATAATAATAGGTACCGGCAATGGGAATAGTTGTGAACAAGAGCCTTTTGTGTTTCAGGTTTTTATGTTAATTATTATTACCATGACATTTCCGAGTGTACCTATACATATTATATACCTACTACCCACCTATATATACCTATATAATGCCGACGACTATGTGATACATATTTAATACTACATAATATTGTTTATGTATATAATATTATATTATTTTATATAAATATTAATGGAACCTACCTATATAGTATATTATGGTCGGAAACTCTGTCGCTTATAGCGATTTGAATAATTTAATAACATTCATAATATATTATAATAATATGAATACGAACAAATGAAACGTCGCGTTATATTCGCAACGGTGGACGTCGAACCGCTATTGTTTTCGTAAAATCGTGGCTTTGTGTGCGGAAATGTCGAATACAAATATTGAAGCAATTAAAAATCATATCACGTACTAATAGGTATACGCATACACTTTATCTAAATCGAAAAAATATATTATAGCGACCACTGATCATAATAATGATTACAGGCCGTGCGCAGCAATAACGCCTGTATATTGTATAATATAATTGTGTCGAGGATGGAATCCTGCATCCAGTGGTCGCGGGTGGTCCCTAAATCCAAATTTCAAATTTTATTCTTTAACGTATTATAAAATAGTGTTACCTACTATTATATAAATTATGATACCATTGTAAACGTACGTAATAAATATAATAATTATTATCACACGGTTGTATTACTGCAGCAGTAGCGTTTTGTGTGGGTGGATTGGTTGAAAGAAATGCGATGAAGCAGCTTTGGGATTTATTTTCTAATGAGATTTTACATGTAAACCGTTGAATTTCCTAAAATTGGCACACACACAGTTCCAAACCACAACACTTCAATCTAAACCGATCGACTTGTGATTATCGTTTTGTCAATTGTTCAGACTTCGGTTTATCCGGCGGGATTGCGCATGTACCTAACATAATATAGTTTGTGGGTACCTACTTAATATATAAATCCGAATCTTAGAAAATTTACCACCGATCACGGACCGACAGAGTCAGCTGGTGTAACTGTGAGTGAAACGTAGATCACAGGAATTCATGTAACATTTAAAAATAAAATGAATAATATACCATCTATATTTTAACTTTATAGTTTTAATAAAAAAAAATGAGGCTGCATATTACGTACAAACATGAAGTATACTATTGGGAATTGGCTATTATACGAGTCGTCAGCGGAGGTGCAAGAATTAAAAGCTATAATAATGATAAAAAAGACTAACATTTAGATACCTACCTATGTATACCAGTTACCAAACATTGAAACATAACAATATGTTTTATTTATAAGACTACAATCGAAACGAAGACATCATATTATTATCGCACAACATATTTTAATCGTAAGTTCATAATATTATTATATTATAATTGTCACCGAACAATAATAATACATATTATGCTATATTATGATGTCATTATAGAACTTGACGTTTTTTAGTTTTTTAGTTTATTTTTTTAAATTTCAAAACTTATAATAAAATGTTGCCTCCTTCGATCCGATACGAAACAAACACACTGCGCGGTATACACTTGCAGCGTAACTGTACCTAAGTATCTATGTGTATAATATATTATATATAAGACGTGACATATGGGCTATAAATAGTTTAATAAATATATAATATATACTGTATATACATATAGGTATTATAATATAATTGACAACGCTTATTTGGCTCGGGACAGTGGACGGGTATAGTATATAATATATATATATATATATTATATACATGCTTATGTACAATAATATATTATTATAAATCAACGATGGAATGCATTGGTTTCCTGTATATACGTGGAGCACCGCGGACGAGTTCCGCGTCGGAATGTAAGTACAGGCGGCGGGAGGGATAATTAATGTTGAAAAATAAAATAAAATACTATATACGGTAAACGGTATTTGCCGAAATTACATAATTATATCATAGTTGCTCGTACGACTCGGTACGAGGATCATGACCACGGTTATGACTACTATCTCGCGGTGTAGATAACCGTGATCTGGACGTAATTTGCGAGTTTATAATATGCTCACGACCAACGATCGCGACATAACGACGGTGCAGTCGGATCGAGACGACGAGCTCGGTGGTGCTCTAGACCGTGCCCTTGAATGCCATTTACCTTCCCCCCCATACACACCTTGTGGTAATTATTTTGACGGATTACGAGTGCGAGTTTACAGAGTGGTGCACTGAACGCGGGACGAGTGGATGGATAAATGGATTGACAACAAATTATCAATATGAGTAATGTAAAAAACGCGAGCGAAAAAGTCTTATGCCACCACATCGGTCGTTATCGCCGCCGCCGTCTTGTTTAGGATCTATATGGGTTTACTAGGCTCTACTGCAACAACGCGCGCACGAGGAAAAAAAAAATATTTCTAAATCCGTCGCCGCGAGTTTCGTGTTTCACAAAAGTGCGCGTCGCTCCGGGCGCCCGAGCCAAACCGTAGGTATATAATATTATTATGGCCGTCGAAAGTCGACTTTATCGCGCCTCATTGCATACTATTACTGCCGTCATTATTACTATAAGCGTATACAATTATGACGTCGTATTGACACGTACGGCGGCGGCGGCGGTGGCGTGTGATGCGCACCGTTTTGCTCGATGACGGATGGCTCTATTTTTGTCGCCTCCCCCCCCCCCTCACTAGCCGACACTGCTGCTTACCTCCCGCGTTTTCGTATAATAACACTTCGAGTACAGTTCGACGACGAGAGAATAAAATAATTTATTATTATAAATAATTATCATAGGTACATAGATATTACACGAAGCCACTGCGCTGTACGTGGAGCGGATAGGATGTTGGTGCAGTCGACGATCGGTAGACAAAGGAGCTGCCCGAAAGATTTGAGGGGCCTGTCTGTCGTACTATATGATACAGTGAAACCTCCCCTAACGGACACTTTTATAAAGCTGATGTTTTTTTGGCTGAAACAAACTACAAACTTTCTATAATCTGAACACTCTGAACAGAGGACACCCCAGAATAGTGGGCAATATTTCAGCGACCGAGAGTGCCCGGTTTTTAGAGGTTTCCCTGTATTTTAACGTCTGATCGATGGATTAATCGGTCTATAATATATCCTACTCGTCCACGTTGGAGGCTACAACACACGTCTCTATATTATATATTTGAAGTATATTTTATATTATGTAGATATATGACGTGCGCTTGTACGCTCGTCGCCCTACTTTCCCAACCATAATATTCTTATTCCCCAACTATAATATATTATTATTATTATTATTATTATTATTATTATTATCATATTATACGAATCGATAATATGAGATTTCTTTTTTATAACATAACATAGGTACACGCAACAAATCGAAAACTTATTTTCTACCTTAACGTCAATATTAAAAATTTCGTAAATAAGTACGCATAATAATATATTAGGTCCTATAATTACCTACATATTAATATAGTTATAGGAGGTAATGTGAGTAGTAACTCGTGCGTAGAAATGCTGCGAAGGCGCTTTTTTGGAGAGTAAACGTATATTATATAATGTTGTGTATGTGCATATATAATACGAGGGAAGAAAAACTCGTGCTCATAATATATAATATTATTATATAAATATAAATCGCACACGTATAGGTAATAATAGTAATAATAATAATAATAATAATAATAATATTAAATAATAAATAATAAGTAATAAATAATAAATAATAATAATAACTTAGTCATCTAACGCGTGTTCGGGGCGAAGGTATAAGCGCCGGACAAGTATTATATTATTATCATCGCACAGCTTACAACTCGTACACGTCGCGACCACCGCCGCCGCCACCGCCGCCACCACCGCCGCCGCAGCCGAGACCGCCGCCGCCACCGTTGGCCCTGGCCCGCGGCCGGCCCTGCAGCGGACACGACCCCGACTCCCGTGACCTGGTGGGGCTGGTGTACGAGTACATGTTGTAGCCGGGTATGATGTGGACGCGAACGTCGCCGGACGGTCGGGTGGCGCCGTCGCGGGCCCGTCGCGAGAACGTCACCGTCGTCTTGCAGCAGCAGTAGTGGAACAGGTTGACGTACGCGTTGCGGAAGTGCCGGTTGCCGGCGCAGTACACCAGGTTGTTGAAGCAGGACTTGCTGAGTGCCAGCCACGCGAGGTTGTAGAACACCTGGGCGGAATGCAGCCGCTGGACGGTGGCCAGCGCCAGGACGACTGCGAACGGTGCCCAGAACACGACGAACATGACGAAGCTGTACGCGTTGGCCAGCATCAGCGAGTAGTCCCAGTTGAACGCTAGCGGTGGCTTGAAGCTCGGGTTCAGCCGGGCCACATGCACCTGGTATGTGATGCGCATGTACAGCCCAGCCGTGATGAGTAGCGGCCCCAGCACAATGGCACCGGCCGTCAGCGCCTGTGTTGGAACGATTTTGCTTATCTGCAACATGGCAGTATGTAATTATATAACGTTTTATATACTTTCAATAATTCATTTTACTTGTAAACAGTCTCAGCCTATAATTTATTCGTGGTAGGCACTGGGCACTTAATGGCCAATAAGTATAATATATATACTTGATGTAATTATAATACAATAATTTTAGAGGGCGGACGCATCACCAGTGGCGGATCTAGAATTTTGGTTTTTTTTGGGTGGGGGTGATGGACAGGGGAGAACGAAAATGTTTTAAAAAATATTACATATATATAACACATATTACCTATTAATAAAAAGAATATTTTAGTTTACAGTTATGTATTAATAATTATGAAGAAAAAAATGGTATCAATGAAATTAACAAAAGTTTCTTTTTCCAAGTCTTATGACACAAATATATGGTCCCTCTGCCCCCCTTAAATCCGCCACTACGCATCACGTTCGAACCCGCGGTCACACACTCACACAGACATGGAAAATATGAGTTTGGCAAAACCAATTTCGAGTAGTAAGCTTTATAATACTATTAGAGTGAATTTATGACATAATATACCATACAACTTAAGTGTTACACAATTATTATCTCATCTGTGGTTTTTTTTACGAAAGTTAATTTTTAAGCGAATCCCGTGAGCATTTTTAAACTGTGATATTTTTACCAACTTGTTTAAATTTTTTTAAAAAACGAGCGTACCTACGAACATAGATTTAAGCTAATGATCCTATTTATAAGAATTTTTCTTACCTTTTATAGTTAAATAATTGGTCAATGGTCAATTCCCTCTAATATTAAAGGTATACCTTAGAATTTGTACTGCTGAACTCAAATTTGACAATGCGTTTTACGTATTTGTTAGACGGTGTCAACACATGAAGGAGAAACTTCCTTTTTGAAAGACAGTTACTGTGCTTTAGAGTCAAACTCAATGATGTTGGGGGGGGGGGAGAGGAAAATATATTATATTATATATACTTTCAAACATTTAGGAAATTTGTACTTGTTTAAATGTTGCATTTTTTACATTCTCAAAATAACCCGAAAATTGCACTCACTCAAATAGTAGGGGCTGTCGGGCTGATTATAAAGTAGGTATTCAAAATTCACGTTCACGTTCGCCTCATAAAAATAAGACCTCAGTTAATTTCCGGTGTCAGGCTTATATAGTTATATTATATTATAATAGTTCGTTTTTCAGCGTTCCTTATATACTAAACGACTTTTTTCGTTACTAAGTTTTTAATTATAAAAAATAAAAATGTTTTATAACAAAATGCAGGCATTGGACTTTGTGTTAAGCAACTAGTGTGTACTTTTGTTGGCACTAGCCGATGGAGTGAATGAGCAAATCTACTAATATTTTGAATTTTGAAACTCCTGTCGGTGAATCCTAAATAACTACTGTGTATGGGAATATTATTCCCACTTGCGTGTTTCCTATACTATATAGCCAGTATAATACTTCTATGATGACATATATTTTGCCTTCTAGTAAAACCTTACTGAATGTTGTCATACCGTTATCGAAAAAATAAAAGCGAAGCACAGCTTGGAATGGAAGTCAATGGATTTAAAAGTCAGATGTTACTATCGTATGTGTATTATAAACCTCTGGAGTAATATTATATACCACATTTTTGGTAATAAAATTGAAAATTGAACCCGACAACGATCACGTCTTCTTTCCCCGTCCGGCATTGTTGCAGGGTTAGTCGGTAACGTATATATATATATTATATAAAACAGAAACATAAAAAGTGATATTTTTTATTAAGGATTTTAGAATATTTTAGAACCAAACGCTTGGTGTAATAAAATATAAAAACCGTAGGCTGGTGCCTGGTGGTCATAGATAACACAAAATTTAAGAGTGCGATGTGACTGGTTCGAACAATAATTATTGTCTGCTAAACCTATAGTTAGTATATCTTATAAAGTATATCTAAATACCTTTGTAGGTACCTACACGATTTGCAAGACTAGACGATATTATGACGCAACCTATACTCACTATTATTATTACCTCGTAACTCGTCCCATTTGGGGCTTACGATGTACCTACCTAGGTATCAGAGCATATTTTTAGTAATTTTTACTGGGTGGCACTCCAATAAAATTTTCTACCAGAGGTTAGGTTACTGAACTCTGAAGATACTGAAATAGTTGTTGTACCTACATACACACTTACACATCATACACATACACTACGCCACTGGGTACTAGTAATTCCGTACATCCGAGTAGGTATCATATTAAACTAGTGTAAGTATTTCCGTGCTATGAAATATGAATCCTAAATAATTGTATAAATTTAATATAAATTTACCTGTATAGTGTATGGTCGCGTGTCTTATTAATCAGAAGCACAGGACACAAATAAGTAGAAAATCAGAAATGTAGTAACATAGCTAGTTATTCTCACCCAGCTTTCAATTTATGAAGACGATGACGATCGACGATTTCCGAAGAAATTGATAACATTGTTAAAATTACGTGTATTATTTTCGTATTACATCTTGTTGGGATAAACTATACAAGAGTCGAGAGCTTAAAATAGTTTTATGTTCTTTATCTATATATATAAAACTGAAATCAAGCAAAAGAGGAAATCTTTGTTACGGTTTGGCTTCGAAACTTCTTATCCAATTGTCATGCAGTTTTTTTTAATGAAAGAGGATATCACGGAGCAGGTTTTAGGCATAAATAAAGTCCGATAATGTTAGTCAATAATTAGTTATTTATACATATAAAATCCAAATACCACTGACTCACTGATCGCTGTATCTCAAAAACTACTCAACGTACGGACTTGAAATTTAGAATACAGGTTCTTCTCATATTTTCACCGTGCAATGAGAAAGAATTTTCAAAAATGTTGCGTTTTAGTGGAGTAATTAACGATTTTAATTATTCACTGCCAATACGTATTGTGCGGCACGGCGGCCCGCGGGTTTCCAGCTATCAGCAACCTATCCTTTTTGTTCGTCGTCGTCGTCGTGTTTTGTGTCACGATGTATGTTCGCGATAAACTCCGAAACTACTGGCCCGATCTTGATGAAACTCTTACACTATCACATTTGGTCAAACTTAAAAGATAGGCTAATTTAAAAAAGGAGAGGACCAAACCCGGGGGGTGCTCAAACGGGAATTTTGAGATTTCGGATGGAAATTTCTGTTTATAAATGGTTGCCATATTGTTTTCAATAATAGTAATAATAATAATAAAAAAAAAACTATTTGCTTTACTTTTTAAATTTAAATTATATATAATATCAAACTATAAAAAATCTCTGTACAGGCTGAAAACTGGAACTACTTATCAGATCTTCTTGATTTTTTTTTTAAACGAAAGAAAATTTTAGGTTGCTGTTGCTTAATCAGGCATGTTTGTTGATTTGTATTATTATTTTTTGTCAATATATGAGTTAAATCATACACTTATACATACAAACAGCACGCCGGGGTCAGCGATCTACCGCAGGTAGATTGCCTACCTGATAATGTACTGCTGCAAATCAGAATTTTTATTATGGGAAACGGAAAAGTTAAGATAAATTTTGAACACCACACACAGAATATTAAATAACGAATTGAACAAAGTTTGAGTCATATAGAGTTGATACATTTAACGGGCAACGAAGTGCACGGGATCAGCTAGTATAAATATATAATATTATGTATTATTATGTAGGTACATAATAATTTACATCGGTATCGGTCGTTATGAGAATGTGTTGGTCAGTGGCTCGATCACCCACCGCTGTGTAGCATTCAAATATCACTGGGGGTACTAGTGCCACGTACTTTGTTTGATAAAATATGCTCTGCTAGGTATATTATGTATATAGTACGCACGTCACTGAGTATGCTGCGATTGTCGTCTTGTCACGAAATTTAGTATAGAATCTATAAGCTCGAGGAAAACACATATTATATTATTATTATTATTATTGCATTTTATAGCATACACATGCTCGTACCTCCTATTATTACATCCGTGCCTTAAGACCTCTTATCCGTATTGCGCACGTCTGTGTGTGACATATATCATATCATATAATACTTTGTATTATTATATGGGTGAAAACCTTTTGCAGGCGTCGCGAAAACGCCGATAAACCCGTATATAACAATAATATAATTTCACCTGTAGATTTGAAGTTAAATGAATTCTCTAAACAATTTTAAACGGATATACAAGAATGATGTGCATGTGTGCACGTTAATAACAATATAGAAGTTATGTAGACTGAGCCGGAATGAAACAATTAGGCCCTCCGAGATTTTAAATTGTATTATATTAAAATGTCTTATAATAATATTATCTTTATGATACTATTCACATAATAAACCTATGATAAATAGAAATAGAAAAAAAGGTGGGTAAGTGGATGTCGCTCTGCTGTACTGTAGGTTACAAGTGGGTCACTGTATAATGGATGGTATTAAATTTGAATTCAATGATATAATATCATTGTATAAGAAAAACGATTCTGAGCGGAGACGGTATGTCAGTCTAGGTATAAGACATATTATATAGGCACTTATCTATGGTATTAAATTATATGGAATTTATGAATAAATTATTCATTGCCCCTTAAAATATGCACAGTCTTATCATTGAGCATACTTCTTATTTCTTATACTATGGTAGATTGTATGGATAGGCCATAATATTTTGATTTTTCAGTTTTTTATATCCCCGAATAATATTTTCTTGTACTAGGTACCCGTCTTGTCTTGGTATCATGGTGACACAAACTTCTGATTTTCAAATGAGAACCACCTTAATGATTGTAAATTATATTATTTGACCGGACCATTTTTAGAAAATGTTGATAGTTGATGTATCAGAATCAAAATTCATACTAAATTCATTTATGAGTTATCTAACTTTGTGTACTTTGAATAATAGGTCTATAATAAGTGGTTTGGAAGAAATGGTGCTTTGGTGATTAATATTCATGTATCAACATTAATCATTTGTAAAATTAGTCCAAGTATAATAAATACTAGATACAATATTACATCTGTTTTATATTTTTGTAAAACCACTTTTGAAGACTATTATTTTTAGAATAAGCATTTTAAAAACCTAGAAATCGAATAATCGTTCGGATTTTGAATTAAGTACATAACAATTTTCAAAAAAACTACAGTAATTTACAGTAATAAAGGAAGGGAGGTTCTCTGCATTTGTAAAATAGAAGTTTGTATCACCGCATGGCACTCTTTAGGTAATAGAAAAAATTTAAAAAATATGCATTATCTTTGAATACCTAGGTAAATATTTGAAAATTCCAAAAATCAGAATTTCATTATTTAAGGAAAAAACGGGGGTGAGCATGTTTGGTGAATAATCCTGTATGCAATGTAATTAGTCTTGTTCTCGAATGTAAGTCTTCTAGTACGATCTGATGTTGTTATAAGATTGGTTTGGTGTAGATGACCCGATATTGGGTTAGGGCATTGAAAGACCAACGACTCGGAGAATAATCGTATTGTCATATAGGAACGGTTTTTGTCAAAGCGACGCCGGCCTGCCAATATAATAGATATGGGTATAAACACTGTCACAACGAGATTACCAAAGTTTTGAGCGACTCGAGGGAGTGTGTAATTGAATATAAAGTCTGAACCTTATACTGTCCTTCTTCACTTTGATTAAAATTAATACGACCGAGACGAGTTGTATAGGCAACAGCCGACAACTACATGGGGGTGGAAAGCGAACGGGACGAACGATATGGTTCAATGGGTTTTTAACCGCCCGTGTGAAACCAGCTTTATCGTCAAAATAACGAGAGCGTAGGTATTAACTATTACGTCGGCATTTCGGATAATAATAACATGACGTACATAACGTAATATAAAATAGATAATGGCAAGCGGGAATGCATATACGACACAGCTAGATAAATAGACAAAGTTATACAATTTATGATTCATTATTATCGGCGTATAGGTATCACTGTACCAGCTATACTATGCGCGGTTCTCGTTGTTCACTTGTACAGCGGCGATCTCATTAAATAAACCAATTATTAAAAAAAAGCAATTACCGACGCACAATTTTTACTGGTGCCCAGAATTTATGACTGCCTCACCAGTAATCATAGAATATTTAATGTCTCAAATAAAAGCGCCAATCATTCGCTACATTTAACGTAGGTAGGTACTATACAGGGTGGTCCATTTAAATTTTAAAGTAAAACATTTTATCGTTTAACCATCTACTTTTCGTATAATAAGTGCCTTACGTTAAATGGATCACCCTGTATACAATACATTGCAATTATATTATCGATATACATATACAATATACATATTAGAGTACCTAGGTTAGGGCACTATGGCTGCAGATATTTAGAAATGGCGCAGACGGTCGTGTCACACACTCACTCACTCATGCTGCAGCTGTACACTGCTGCTGACGGTTGACTAGGTCGTAAAGAGAAAATCTCTGCCGATAATAATCAGGGCGGTGGAGGCGTCTTCGACATGCTATACACAAACGCCAACACCAATAATGAGAAAAAATAGGAAGCATTGAAGTGATATAAAAAAAAAAAAATTATCCAACCTTAAAAGGTCAAAAGACTACCTACTATGATAGATAAAGGTCTAAAAATGGAAAGGAATCGTTATTTTTGATATTATACTGTACCTAGCACACTATACTACTGCAGCAGTCTTTTGCGGGTGACTGCATTTTTCTCTCTATTGAACGTCACGTTTCTTTTGAACGTGTTATAGGTATGCATGTTCGTATATCTACTTATTATAATATAAAGTTGGATCAATGTTTATTATTATAATAATATATTATTGTACGTCATGCGTATAGTATCATCAATTTAAAACAATGATCGTACAATAACATCAAAGGACAAACGTGTACAAAGGAAACCTGCGGAAGGTTTTCAAAATTGAAAATAACGTCGAACGAAGTGCCGTCAACTTTTCTCGAAAGAGCTGACAAGAATCATACATATATAGTTAAACACAGAAATTGTCTGTTGACCTCTTGCCAGAAAAATGACTCACTGATAAAATAACAGTTTATATATAGGAAAAAGGGTAGACGCGTGAGAGGCTTTTGATCATGATTGCATATATACAGTATACTCATAAAATAAAGTGTAGGGGTGGGTTATTATATTTATTAATATTTCATACAATGTGCCCTCCACGTGTGGTGGTGTGGTAAAGAAATATAATAAGGGAGACAGTCATCGAGACAGGTCATCGGGAAAGTGAGGAAACTATGAAAGACCCTTGAATGGTGAATAGTAAACATCGCCTAGGTACTTTTATTTCCCCAAAAAAATCTTTTTTTTTTTTTTTGGACAAAGAAGACGGTCGAGCACATCCTCCTCGAATGTCACCAGTTCAACGAAATGCGTATCCAACAGGAACAACCAGAAAAACTATATGAGATACTTTCATTCACTCCCGAGACGTCCAAAAATATAATCTGCAAATTCATAAATGAAACTGAACTGCGTCATCTTATTTAAAATGTAAAAATTTAATATAGTAATAAGTAATTTACGTAGTTTAAAAAATGTAACGCAGGCTAATAACCTGGGTTATTAACCTAGTTGATGTCTTTAAAAATATATAAAAAAAATAAATAAATAAATAAACCTTTGAAGTAATTTACGTGTATTAATTGTCTGCAGAGAGGAAACGCATAAATTCTTCATTCTGGACTTCGAATTTTCACCTGTATACTGCAGCTATAGAAAGGTGTTAATATCCGGTATTCTGGTGCAATCTCCAATAGCTTGGACCGTTTCAAAATCTCAAAACTCAAAAACAGATTATTAAATTTGCCACGAGGAGAGGAAGAGGTCAGACTTATGAGTGACCGTGAAATGAGACAAGCCATGAAGGAAATACACAGGGTTTTTTCAAAGAAACCAGAGCTACGCGACGCGTGTCTATAGCACAATTTAAACTGAGTTTAAAGTCCAAACAAGAAACGTTAACTCTTTGAGGGGCCGTGGTTAGTATGCTAACCACTTTTTTTTTTTACCGTTCAGGTGCGGTGGTTACTATTTTAACCACTTTTAAAATTATTTTTAATATTTTTTTGATGATGGTCAGCATACCAATCACCTTATTATCATCTTATACATGCATCAAACAATATCACTGCCGCTGGTCTGATATCATTTCTCGCGTTTTTCATCATTTATTATCATTATCAATATTTTGATATACGTACTAAATGTTATGGTAAAGAGACATATTGCCCACATGGGTCTTTTTTCTAAAGGAAATTTTCGCCCCTCAAAGAGTTAAATGCCGTATTTATTCATAATTATTTAAGTGGACATGATAAAAAATGCTTAATCGTGTTATTTCGTGGGTCAAGTGATAAAGAAATTCTACATAAATTAAATATTGTTCAATATAACATGTTGAACATACAATGTTACGATACAATGTACGCGGAGTTTTTATTTAAAACTAGTCAATTTAAGTACTCGGAGCATTATATGCGAAATCAAATTAGGGTACCATGATAGAGAAGGATTAATGTATAAAAAGAAGCATAAAACTACGTACTCACATGACCCATGTACGGACGTAAAATACACACAAATAATGTATTTTCGATTATATTATAAGGTTTTACAGGTACGAACATTTAATAAAACTATGTTAAATATAATCAACATTATAACAAAAATACAATTAGAGATAATATATACATAAGTATCTATTTTATTATTTTGTTTTGTTTTGTTTAGTCTATTTGTTGTTCAAATGTTAATTGGGTGCAAACTGGTGATGGCACAATAACGTTTCTCCGACACTCAATTACCGCCAAAATCCGGCATCTATTATACGAAAATATAGGTAAAATTAAAATCATTACTAACACATGAACTCAGTAGAAGTGTAGCTGTGTAGCATCATATTCCATGTCCGCACTCTAAAATATGCTTTTATATACAAAATAGAAAATACATTTTTTTGGAACATTCTAAGTAGAAAATCTTGTCCACATTTTTCACGCCGTGTAGTATACAACTATATTATATTATGTATTAAAACATAGACATTTCGACAAAAATTATTTCAATTATACCCATGTATTTATTATTATTTTTTATTAATTAACCCTTTGCAACTTAGGCCATTGGTGGATTTTTAGGATGTGGGAGGGTACTGTAGGTTTTAAACACGTTTACATAGTTTGGCAGATTTTTTAGTGGGCACTCGTAGGATAATACCTATATATTATATGCGATTAATCGATGTTTATAGCATATTATTATGATATTAAACAAACGCACTCGTTTTACCTTTTTATTGCAGTAATCTGGTCCCATGTTGTAGACGGACTGTAACGTAACCAGGATCGAGCTGATGATCCAAATGGCGAACAGAAGCGTAGTGATTTTCGTGACGGTAAGTTTGGCGTAGCATTCGGGCGTCAGGCAGAGTCGTATATAGTTCTCGGCTGCTACCGCGGCCATGGTAAGCACGGTTACCAAGCAGCATAGGATCGACAGGAACCACTGGAACTGGCACACCGGCGGAGAATCCTGTAGACCGGACAGGATGACCACTGCGGATGCCGGAATGACAAGGCCGCTGATCAACAGGTCGGCCAGCGCCACGTTCGCCACGAAAGTGTTGCCTGAAACGAGTGTATAATAATTAAAAATATAATATTATACTAATATAATATGCTATACGTCAGTTTGATAATGGACGAATAATATTATTATTGCGATTAAATCAAACACAATATCATAATATCGCAATATACTAAGTAGTACCGATTATGAGAGACCTTTTAGATTCTGAGTGAAACGATAAATGTATTGATTTTACAATGATTTGTGTTTTTTTTTTTATTTTTTTTTAATTTTTGTGTCCGTCATCACCTTTTAGTACAGTAAAAATGCTTAGATTTTCTTCAACAGTATCATTTCTGATAGGAAAGTGAATCTAGTTGGTACTTTGGCCTTTGGGGGGTCAAAAGTGACAATTTTGGAAATTTAGAAAAATTAAAGAAAAACGGGAATTTGTACCCAATATCTGTTTTTGGTTTTTGGTGCAACTCTTAAACAAATGACCTTAGGTACATGACATTTTGACTGAATGTTTATATTAGTATTTTCTATACACCATAACATTTTCCAAATATTTTGAGCTGTTTACATTTTCAGTTTCCATTTTTTTTAGTTTTTTTTTCTATGAATATCAATAAAGTTTTATTTGTTGGTTAAAAAAGCTTGAAAATTTAATAGAAGGCTCCTAGTACATTGTTTCACCTTAATATAATCAAATATACTTCGTAATATCATAGGGTGACTGACCTTTCTCGCTCAGAATCGTTTTTCTTATACAATGATATTATATCATTGAATTCAAATTTAACACCATCCATTACAGTGACCCACTTGTAACCTACTGTACAGCAGAGCGACTTTTTTTTCCTTTGTGACACATCTGTCACTCAATCACAAAATAAATGGACGCTATAGACCTCCGTTAAGTCAGTACACCATATTATCATATTTACTTATTGTAATGGTTTTGTACAGAATGTAAAAAAAAAAATTCTGTCCACAGCACTATTCAGTAGCTGCAGCTGCAGGTAATAGAGTTGAGTTACTCCAACCATAATAAAAACGAATTAACAAGTTATCATTATTTTTTTCTCGTAGTGAAAATATACATTGTGGCAAATTAGATGATAATAATGGTATCATGATAATCTTAATGATGATATCTTAATGGTTATCTCCATTATCGATCTGTCGATCAGAAATGGAGACGTTAATGACGAAGAGTGTGTGTACTTATAATTAACAAGACAGGAAAAAAATTCCTGATTTAGTTTTGACTTGCTTTTTTTATATTAGTCATTGATTATTATAAATGTATAAATGTGACAATTTGCGGTTTAATTAAGATTTGGCCCCATGCCACATAATTAAGCTCTGTTTTACGAGATAAACTTGATTATTGGTCTTATATTCTTATAAGCCGTACGTACCTATACCGTACCTATAACCGTACCTATACAGTTATAATATGATTAATTAATATTTATTTTTAAAACATCGTAACAATTCGTATAATTATACTACAATAGGTGTGTAAACATGATTACGTTTTACCTATCGTTATGAGTACACCCACACTGCACACACTGCCACACACTCAATATGTTACAATAATAAACGAATTTTCAGCGAATTTTCATTAATAGTAATATAATTCAATATTCGGATATACAAAGCTTGGTATATGTATAAATACAGCGTTGGTTTTGAACACTGTAGGTATATAGAATTGTGTTTGCGTAAAAGCGATAGAGGGAGCTGGGAGAGACAATAGAGTTATATTAAATTAATATAATTTATTAACACACAAATTAAATTATCTTAAAATATTATGTATTATGTACCTATATAATGCGATCAAATTATTTCAATCACAACAAACCAAATCCTATGCAGGACGCTAAGCTCATATTTTATTCAAAATATTATTATCGAGTTATATTCATGGTCAATATACGGTATAGTGGATGAAAATAAATATAATTAGATATGTATGGCCAGTGGCGTGATGAAGGTCTTATTTTGAAGCAATATTGCTCCATCAAAATTCGTTGGTGGGTAAGTGGGGGGGGGGGTACTGGATTTAGTGGAATATTGTAAAACAAGATTAACGCATCAGAATACTATACAATTTAGTACAAATTAAGAATACTGAATAATAACTATACAAAAAAAGCTTATTGTATTATAAATATACACCAATACGCACTACTCGACAGTCTCTAAGTTAATTATAAACAATAGTAAATATTCAATGTAATGTTTTGGTGGACTACATAAAGCCTTACCATATTTTTGGCGCTCCTCACCAAAAATTAGTTCAACACGCCACTGCGTGTAGGCACCTACAATTATATTCTATTATAATGATTTGGTATACGCGTTTTCAAATGTTAACTTTCTAAATTTTTCACCACATAATACCATAATAATACATATTTTTATTTTAATAATTAAATAATATAAGATAACTTTCAAAGTTCAAACGCGTTTTCATAGATTTCTGGTCCCACATTTCTTCGTCCATCCTGATTGAGATACCATACATCGTTAGGAACACACACTGGCGAACGAAAGGGTAAGGTTCTAGGGTTCTAAATACTATGACATTTTTTCATCCTAAAAAAATTTTATTTACCATCATATAATAAATATACAGAGTATATTAATAATTGCTTGTCATTTTTAATAGATATTAAATAAATTATAAAATGCCAATAACATCGAGAAACATAGTTTTATTTTTTTTTTGGCTGATTAAGTACATTGTTAGCAACGTCTAGCTGCCATAATCTTCGGATCATGTATCATTGATTATTACGCCCTGAAGATGTTCAATATAGATGACTATAGGTTAAATACTCTAAACGTAGTCAAAATTTGAGACCGACTCTGTATAATTTTTCTTAACCATTTATCTATGTAAAAACTGTTTAGCGAAGTATAATGTAAACGGAGATGAATCCCCACGAGTGACGAGTCTGTGATTAATCTTAAAGGTAAACCCTAACTGAACTAAAATCCTGCATACGCCACTGAGTACACGTGCCTATATATCATATATTTATATTATATACCGACCTCGGGTCTCAGGACGCTATACGGATTTACAATGCAGCTGCTGTGAGTCGGAAATCGAAACGAATAAATTTGTCCTTGTCTGAGTGTGTCGAACTCTAATCACAATGGTCTAACGGCAATCGGAAATATTATTGTACTGGTGCAGTGCTAACGAATGTGTACTGTTTATAGACATTTTATTACATTGTATAATATAAATATAATATAATGTATAGGAGAAAAATGACATTTTTTTTCAACGTATAATGGCTGATAGTTGATACGAAAAAAGTTATTGAACTTGTATTCTGGTGTCGCAAGTGGGCAGTGAAATTCGATTTTGATGCCTTATTATTTCTTATTTTTCATATATTTTATCGTTTCTGCTCCGCATAAAAAAGAAACCCGAACGCGTTCAGAATCTAAATTATACATATGGTTAAATGTTTTTTTTTGCTTTTAAACTTGGAGGGCCCTGCGTATATAACAAAATCGTATTGTCGTACAAAGACTATATTCTTGGACAGCGAGCGAATATAACGACCATCGTATCACTAAATAATGACCAATAAATGACTATAGATTATAGTTGTTTTGATTTTCTAAGATAAATTTATTTTATTAATGTTCTTCTTTTCGTTATTGAAATTTCGGTTGAATGATTTTGGACCAACATCAAAGGCTTGAACTGACAATCAACGATGTTTCCACGAAGCATAATATACAAATTGAGTTTCAAATTGAGTGCATCTTTACAGTACAAAACTTTATATAATATTACAAGCATTCTAAAAGGTTTGAATTTCACAAGAACCGTGGAATATTTAAGCAGCTGATTATATTTAATTGTATTGTCCTGCAGGCTATAAGTAAAATGATGGACAGTAATAAACACTTTTAAATTATATAGTATTATTTTTATATAGATCAAATTAACTGAAGGTGTATATACAGCCATATTTTATAGTCAACACGTTTACTGATTACTGAAATTTCGTATAATAATAAATACCTAGCCGATTTCTGTTAAGAATATTAAGTAAACGATTTATATAATGTAGCATTTTCTAAAAAAAAATGGCCATTAGTATAGGCTTTGTATTAGATTTAAATATTATACTAAGTTTAAATAAGAATAATTCAAAAAATCATATTATCAAAATAAACCAATATAAAATAATAGATAATTATAACAAAAGAAGATTTGTTTAAAATAGGTAGTAGGTACTAAACATAAGTGGTCAACTGCAGCTTTTTTATTTATATTTTAGAAATTCAATTTTTTTTTTAATGAAGACTTAATCACGATATGGAATCTTAATGTTGCAATAATACAGTGGAAATAATTAATAAAACATAATATTAGTACTATTATATAAATAGGTAAAGAAATGATAAATGTATATAATTTTTTACCTTCATCTATATTCGCTATATAAATTTCAAGATTTTATTTTATCGAAGTTTGCGAAGTTATTTTTTTTCCTGTCAATTTGTTGTCTGACGCCTGATGGGGAAGTTATCGGTTGAAAAGTCCCCTCAAAATATCAATAATATTTTATAAACGCACAAAATAGTTAACTAAATGAACCCCGTGCACGTAATGTATATGGTAACAATTAAAATATAGATTTGGGCACACATATTCATCATATGTAGAGTAACCAATAGATTATGAGCACGGTTTTTTTTTTATTTAAATATATTCAATCTGTTCACGAAATAAAAACAATAGGTAATAAGGATAACATAGAAAAGTATATACAAACATGAACATCAGAGAGCACGGATTTTAAGCGGAAAAATATGATAACTAATAATATGAAAAATTGGAAAAATTGGAAACATTATAGGTATACCTAATTGTAATAAGTAATAAATCTATAACATACATTAAACATAAATATTTTTATTATTTACCCGATCGTGAAGGCAGTAGTTATAGGAAATGTATTGTAAATCTGAACGAGAAAAAAATAAAAATAAATTAAATAATTAATAA